CATCAGCACCATCATCATTGCGAGCATCATCCACCTCCTCCTTCTTCCTCATCATTCCTCCTCCTTCTTGTTCCTCCCTCCTCCCCCTCCCCCTTTCTCTGCTCTTCCTCCTCCTCCTCCTCCTCATCCTCCTCATCCTCCTCTTCATCCTCCTCATCCTCCACGTCCTCCTTCGGCTTCTCCTGCTCCTCCGATTCCTCCTCCAATTTCTTCCTCTCGGGGTACGGCGTCCCACCCAGCCATCAATTCCACTGCATGCACCTCCACATCCCTGATCAGAACATCTCGTCTGGGCACCGGGTCTGGATGGGCTGGTGGGCATAGGTGACGCGTCCAGAATCCGTGATGCAAGCTCAGGAGTGCTAGCGTGAAAGCTATGGGTGAGGGTTGTGTGGTGATCACTATGTGGTGTAAGCTATCTAGTGCAATAACGTACGAAGAATTTGACGTCGCCCCTCCTCCTGCTCCTCCTCCTCTTCCTCCTCCTCCTCCTCGTCAGCATCACCATCATCAGCAGAAGCAGCAGCATGATCATCGTCATCATCACCAGCATCATCGACAACAACAACAGCATCATCACAAACATTACCAACATCATCGACATTACCAACAGCAACATCATCATCATCATCATCATCATCATCATCATCATCATCATCATCGGTGTGCCCATCCTCATCATCATCATCCACGTCAGCATCGCAATCCGCATCCTCATCCTCATCCTCATGCACTGGCATGCGACATCAGCATCATCATCATCATCATCATCATCATCATCATCCTCATCATCATCATCATCATCGTCATCAGCATCATCGTCATCATCGTCATCATCGTCGTCAACAGCATCCTCCTCCTCCTCCTCCTCATCATCATCATCAACAGCATCACCATCATCATGCGCATAGCCATCCTCATCACCATCCGCATCCTCATCAGCATCCTCATCACTACCACTGCAGCTGTCAGCATCATCACCACCATCAGCATCACCAATCAGCATCCTCCTCCTCCTCATCATCAGCAGCACCATCATCATCGATATCAGCAGCATCATCAGCATCAACATCAGCATCAGCAACCTCATCACCATCACCATCATCATCACCAGCAGCAGCAACATCATCACCACAACCATCATCAGTAGCATCATCATCATGAGCATCATCATCATCATCATCCTCTTCATCACCATAATCATCATAATCATCATCAAGAGTATCATCGTCAACGCCATCGTCATCATCCTCATCCTCTTCATCACCAGAATCATCAGAATCATCATCAACTGAATCATCGTCAACGCCATCGTCATCATCATCAACATCATCACCATCATCTTCATCATCACCACCACCACCATCAACATCAGCATCATCATCATCCTCATCCTCATCCTCCTACTCCTCAGCATTATCTTCATGGTAATCGTCCTCGCCGTCGTCACCGTCAGCATCAACATCATCAGCATCACCTGCATCGTCAGCATCATCATCATCATCATCATCATCATCATCATCATCATCAGCATCAGCATCAGCATCAGCATCATCGTCATCCTTATCCTCCTCCTCCTCCTCCTCCTCATCATCATCATCACCATCCTCATCCTCATCCTGATCCTGATCCTGATCCTGATCCTCATCACCATCACCATCACCATCACCATCATTCCCCTCCTCCTACTCCTCCGCCGCCTCCTCCTCCTTATCCTCTCCCATTCTCCTCCCCCTTGTCGTCGTCCTCCCCCCCCCCCACCCTTACCCCTGCCCATCTCCCTTCCTCTCCCCTCCCCTTCCCCCTCCCACTCAACTCCCTCTCCCGCTCCACATCCCTGTCCCCTCCTCTTCCCCCTCCCCCTCCTCCACCTGACACTTACGCTGGCGACGCACGAATCCGTGGGTGGACGCTGCGTTGGGAAGCTCGGCCAACGGTTGTCGACTCGGCGGCTGAACAGTTCGCTCCACCGCTCCTGCTCCCCTCCCGCTCACAGAAAAGCACAGAGCAAAATGGAAGCAGGATGCACATCCCAAACTGACCGACAGGACAAGAGAGATGGATCTGGGAAAGAGAGAGGGAGAGAGAAAGAAAGAAACACCAAACACATAGAGAGAGGAGAGGAAGAGGAGAGGAGAAGAGAGAGGAGGCCAAGAAGCCTCCTTGGGGTGCGAAGGGCGCGGGTTCTTCAGCTTCTCCGCCCACCTTCCCCGTGTCTACCCACCCCCACCCTGGGGTGGGAACCGTCGACCAAACTTGCAAGGCAAGCTCCTGATCATTAGGCCTCCCAAAACTCTGCTGCGCACTCAACGGGGGTCAACGGAGGAAGCAACACCCCCGCAACAACAACTCTACCCTGAATTGACTCTCAATAAGGGATAACCCAGAAAGGACTCGTGACGATGTTGTTGAGAGGAATCACAGCATGCCCAGTGTTATGGAAAACGGCCTGGGACGACCAGGACCCCACCCTCCTCCTCCTCCTCCTCCTCCTCCTCCTCCTCCTCCTCCTCCTCCTCCTCCTCCTCCTCCTCCTCCCTCCTGGTCGCCGTCGATCAAGCTCGGATCGCAGGCGCCGCCGGCCCCTTCTTCCTCTGCCCGCCGCTCGCCTCCCCCTCCCCCTACCTCCGCTCGGCCGCGACGGCCGCTCCCCGAGGCGGGCGCCCGCCCGCAGCGCGCCGCTCTGCGAGGGCGGCGGCCGCTGGGCAGGCTGCGCCCGCTGGCGCGGGCGCCCACCCGCGACAGC